GAGAGAGAGAGAGAGAGAGAGAGAGAGGGAGAGAGAGAGAGAGGCGGAGAAAGGAGAGGGACTCCATTCATGGGGCTTTGATCCTCATTCAAACTAATGCCGCTCGAGGATCCGGGGCTAAAAAACACGCAGCAATAAAAGTCTTAGCAAAGCACAGCAGCCCTCTCGATCGTTGCGGGGGAGGCGCGCTGGGGGGCGCGGCGTGGCCCAGCCTCTTGTGCCGCGATTCTTGATAGTCCAATATCACAGGGGATTAGGGTCCCCGCAGGGCATGCTCTGGGCGCGCCGAGCCAGCGTCGAGCCAAGCGGTGGTGCTGGTACCGGGGGGAGACCAGGACAGGAAGAGGGAGGGAGGGAGGGAAAGAGAAGACAAAAGACAGGCAGAAGAAGGGCAGTTTCGCGTCATACAAATTTATAAGTCTTGTGCTCAGTGAAGAAGAAATGGTCCAGCAATGCACCTGCGCTACTAAACTGCTGCTGCTGTGGAGGCGGTGGGTGATGTACCTGACTCACTTGCTCCACTTGACGTACGCAAGAGCGAGACGGGGAGCTGAATGGGGGCCTCATTCTGGTCCAGTGCGGCTGAGAGTGAGGCCCGAGCCCCATTGAGCGCCATGGGAGGTCAGCACGGCGCTCATGTGGCGCAGCCGGGGGCGCAGCACAGCGACAGGGCCGCCACCTGCGAGGCTCGGGGGACGACACTCATGCACCGTCCATTCACTCACACTCCTCGCGTCTTCACGCGTCGGATCAAGAGTAACGGACGAATAAAACTCTCCTCTCGATGGAACCTCGAGTAATGGTGGGAGACACAACATTTCCTGCACGACCAACGTTAATTCAAAGTGATGCGAAGAATTATTGAACATTCTTGAAAAGAATAACAAGCGTTTTTAAAGATTTCCAAACGCGATGTGGTAGACTACAACTTGCCGTTTTACACTAAAACTGTGATTAATCACAAAATAAAAGGCAATTTGCGAACAAATTTAGAATTGGTCAAAAGAAGTTTATTAAGGTTTTCCTAAAAGTTTGGAAAATTATGTTCCCAAAGTGTCTGGGTTTCAAACTTTCCAGTTAGTTGCTCTGAAATGTCAAAATACAAATAAAGATTTTTGGTCTTGCGAGACTGCAAACACGGTAAAAGAATTATCTCAATTTTTGAGGACTTTGAGGAACTCCCCATGTTTGGGGAAGAGTCCTCCGATCTCTCGGACCTCCGACCACTAAAACAGATCGTAGTCACGAGCTCGCACGCATCGCCTGTATTAAGGATTAGCGCCGCTGTAATCGCTTCCTTTTGCAATTAGCCGCTGGTTGCGCTGCGATCGCACGCCTGGGGACCGGCACAGCACCCTGCGCGCCAGAACGGTTCGCGTGGGAAACCAG